TAAAAAAAAAAAAAAAAAAAAAAAGAAAAAAAAAAAAAAAAAAAAAAAAAAAATGCATGATTCCATTAACGTTCAATCTGATTCACAGAGTGAATCAGTCAAACTTGAAAACGGGGAAATGTAGGAATTGCCAGCTACCTAAACACTTAGAACACCACAGGAAACAACTGAGGGACACAGTGTATGAAATAAAAGAAAATAACCAACATTAAAAAAAAACTAATAATTGTAAACACAGCACAATAAATAGGTAGAACAGCAGGTTTCCTCACCATGCACATGACTCTTCACACACTCACGTTTACCTCACACACTCCCCCTTCATTCGCTTTTTACTTTTTTTTGATTCCCCAAGTGCAAAACATCAACTCAACAGTTCTGTATTCAAGTAGCATATATACAAGGTGGTGGCGGGCTTTTACAAATATGTAGTTTCTGTACATCGAATATTAGCCATAATCATAATTTACACAACTTTTCTTTACAGAAACAAAGTATTAAAAAAAAAAAAAAAATGAAAAAGGGGCGAAAATAAAGAGATGAAAATTTGTGTCACGTTCAGACAGAACCGGAAACCAGAACCAGACAGTCGGAAACCCGCTGTCCTTTTGCTTCTCCGAACCCAATTGGTGCACAGCACCAGAAGACTGGACTGGGCGGGAAAAAAGAACGACGCCCAGGCAGCGGTCACTACGTCACCTCCATGGCCACTGTGTTCTCCGCTATACTGTTGAGGGACTGCTTTTCCTGCTCGTGATGCTCCCTGTAAACAAACAGGAAACGGATCAATAACCTGATAAACAAGCCAATAAAAAGTGACTAATGTACTTGCGTAACTAATGCAATGTTTCCAACATTTCACATTTCACATCCATGCAATCATGAAAGAGCAGAAAAGCAACCACAGAACTTTAGATTTTTGTGAACAATGAGCTTTTAATTTTTTTTCAATTAACAGATTTATAATTTTTAATGCATTATTTTTCATTTATAGTTATTTAAAGATCTAAATGTGACACTTTCATGTGGGGTCAAAACTAGTTTTTCATGCTTTAAAGGCACAATATGTAAGATTTTTTTATTAAAATATCCAAAAACCACTAGAACAGTGTTATATATTTTGCTGACTTGTGTACTTACATTATCCCAAATGTTTCGAAGAATGTTCAAATCCAGAGAAATAAGCAATTTTAAATAGTGACACGGACCGTGTCCATAGTGTCATTGTGTCGCCTTTCTACTACGTTAATAAATCATTAGCTCATCCATGAACATGATTTCTGCCCGAGTCCTGTCGGATTGCATCGGCTGTGGGGATGAAGACGACACCTCCCATGATTCCACACTCAGTCACGGCGTCATCAAACTACGCCTGTGTCTATTTGTTTATTTTGAATACGCGCCCTCCAGCGGCGAAAATTACATATTGTGCCTTTAAGTCTTTTTTAAGACCTGGATAATTGTTGTAACAAATATTCGCAAAATATTTGCAAAAAAAAACAACTATACTGCTATTATTTGCTAAAAGTAAATAAACAAATGACAGGGTTGTCACTGTTTGATAAATATAGAAAATTAAATAAAAAATATTTGCTGTTACTATTTGCTAAACATAGTAAAAATATGCAAAAAAGGCTGGATTGTTACTTTCATAATGATTTAGAAACAAAATATTTGCAAAAAACAATGTAACAATGCTAGTCACTGCGTACTAAAAAGCAAAAAATGAAAAAAAGCTTGATTGTCACTTAAATATTTGCAAACAAATGCTTTAGTTATAACAAATATTTGCAAACATAAAATTATGCTGGACTGTTACTGTTATAAAAATGATTTGCAAACAAAATATGAGGGAAAAAAAAAAACAAAACCAAAAAAATACTGTTTGCCAAATATAAAAATATTTCCAAACAAATATTTCTTCCATTACAAGTAAATAAACAAATGACAGGGTTGTCACTGTTTGATAAATATAGAAAATTAAATAAAAAATATTTGCTGTTACTATTTGCTAAACATAGTAAAAATATGCAAAAAAGGCTGGATTGTTACTTTCATAATGATTTAGAAACAAAATATTTGCAAAAAACAATGTAACAATGCTAGTCACTGCGTACTAAAAAGCAAAAAATGAAAAAAAGCTTGATTGTCACTTAAATATTTGCAAACAAATGCTTTAGTTATAACAAATATTTGCAAACATAAAATTATGCTGGACTGTTACTGTTATAAAAATGATTTGCAAACAAAATATGAGGGAAAAAAAACAACAAAACCAAAAAAATACTGTTTGCCAAATATAATAAAAATATTTCCAAACAAATATTTCCATTACCATTATAACCATTATAAAAAACAACAACAACAAAGTTGCTGGATTGTTACCGTTTTCTAAATATAGTAAAACATGTAAAAATACAAAAAAACCCAAAAAAAACATGTAATTCTTTACCCAGTGTTGACTTTGGGGAGCTGACAGTTGCTGGCGGCAGCGAGCTTCAAGGCAGCGGGTGGCACATTGCTGAGACTTCTGGGAAGGTGACGGGCATTTAGACTGGCGATAGAGGGTGTGGTGACGCTGAGACGTAGGTTGTTGCTGATCAGGACCTGAGAGGTGGAGTTGGCTGTGTTGTTACTGTGGTTACCTATAGGGTTGTGGACCGTGTGGGCGGAGCTTGTGTTGGAGTTGCTAGTGGAGGACAGGAAGGCGGGCGGGGCAGCGGTCGGTGTTGGTTGGCTAGTGAGGACCGAAGCAGAGGATGTGGCAGAGATGCTCAATCCCTTGTAAACTCCTGTAAAACAAACAATAATTAGTTGGAAACTATATTATTACAGAATGAGCAAATGCAAAAAAGATTTAGCTTGTCCAGAACACAAACCTGAAGCTTGGACGACTCCGTTGACTCCACCTCCTACGCCGTCCTCTTTGACCTTTAGGGTCAAAAGCTGGTCAGAGGTCACGAGTGCAGAGGCAGCAAACTGGGCACTGACTGAGTCCAACGTCTTGGACACAAGAGACTGAGGACACAGCAGGAGAGTGTTACACAAGCCATCACACTTCCTGACATGAGCGACACTTGTGTCTCTCCGTTACACACCTGACTCGAGCCTGTATCATTGGCCTGTTGTTGTATCTGCTCCAGCTGCTGTTTCTGCATAAGGGCCAACTGTTCTTGATGCTGCTGATACTGCTCAGCCGTGAACGCTGAAACACAAAACCGAAATATTATACTATCTATATTATATTATCTTACATGATTGCAGAATCACAATTTCACAGCATTTCTTGTTCAATGAAAGAGACTAGAAATCTTAAAGAACACAATAAAACATTTGCAACAGAGCTGACTGTAGGTGTTATGCATCAGAAATACAGAAATGCTATTTCAAAGTTGGTGAAAGTCACTATATTTTGATGAAATATTACAAAAACATTTGTTTAGAATAGCATGCACTGATTCATTGCACACAGCGTCTATTTTAGGGTTCTTTACATTCAAACTAGCAAAGAATAAAACATTCTCAAAACAAGAATAAACCAATCACATCAATATATTCTCTCAATGTAATGTGGACCATTTTAGTTTAACATCATGACAAAGGTTTCTCATCAAAAAGAGCACAACAAGTGAGCTGCAGCCATGTAGATGATATTAAAAACTGGAGCTGATCACTGGACCGATACACGAATATAAAACAGGAGAATACACTGCTTCATTTGCATACGCTGTGCTCTCGTCGTCATCTGAACGAGTTTCATTTAATGCTGGACGCGCTTAATGAGGTTTTATGAAAAGCTACAGCTGTGCTTCTGGTGAACATTTGCTTCTCTTGGTTTATTGTTTTCCTTTGACAGCGACAAGCCAACTGTCGCAAGCAATTTGTCTTCATTTAAATATTTTGTAATGTAAAATTAGTCACTGGTCAAGTGTTGGCAGACAATTATAGAGTTGGGAAACTGAGAATCAGTTGCATTTAACAAAATACTGAAATCAAATGGTTTAAATAATGTTCTGCAAACAGCTCAGTAATGTTTTTGCATCAATGTGAATGCAAAACTCCTAAAAGATTGATATCTGCGCCACTTATGATGCTTCCTCAGAGAGCTTTTAAGAAATTTAGACTGTCGGCCTGCTAATTTCCAAATTGTTGGTCTAAGCCAGAGGTGCCTAAAACACAAAATCATCACGGGCCAACTTTGGCCCACAGGTTTGGGCATCTCTGGTATATACTTCAGTTTTTTATGGACCCTCACGTACGTGTAAAAATGTATACTTTGGCCTTAAGCCATGTGGGTTTTCAGTAGCACATGCCTGATTTAAGCAAAAGCAATAAATTATAAAGGCTAACAATTTAATTATAACAAAGGAAATAAACAGAAAATTTATGAAATTTAACTAGATTAAAAAAAACTAAATTAAACTAAATATAAAATAAGAATAAAATAATACAATATAAAAAAAACTAAACACAATGTAATAACTAGATATTATTCAAAAATACAATAAAAGAATACAAAAAAAAGAAAATGTGTATTACCCATTGAAACAGCCACTATATCACTTACTATTCAAATCCAAACAGACATTTTTGGCTATTGTGCTTCATCACAGTACTCCATCCATGTCGCAAAACCAAGAGCGAGGAGTTTTTAAAAAGTTAAACTCTTTAACATCTCAAAACCCTTGCACTGTTCCAATGTGTACAGCAGACAATCATAAACCGGAGGAATTACACAGGGCTTCCTTAAAACCTTCCCCATGTCATTTAAACATCCTACCGAGTAGTTATTTTTGAAAACGTAGTTTGTGAACCCCTACAGAAAAGGGCACTGCCAGTGAAGGGGCCCAAAATATCATTCCCAAGTATCGCTGCAGCAAACACTGACTGAGCTTTCTCAATTATAATAGCCGTCAATCATTCCATGTTTATTTCCAGACTTCATTGACAACGCTGAATTAAACATCAGCAAGCAAACAGATCCAGCACTTCGCATGCACACCAGCGTGAGTCCACTCACCTACTGCGGGTGGTCCCGCGCCTGCTGTTCTGCCCAGCGTACTGCCACCCGGCCCTGCGCCGCCCCTCACCAACCCCCTAAACAATCTCCGTGACAGCGCATCCCCTGCGCCTGATTGGCTGGTTAGTGTCCGTGGTTTAAAGTGCCTCCAGCGGCAAGCTTTGATGTTTCGGAGGATCTGCCTCAGGTCTGAATACGTGGTATGAGAGGAAGAAGAGGATGAGGTAACGGTCTGGGAAGTGGTTTCCGGATGGAGAGGAGAAGCAGGGAAGGAGAAGTCCGGCTCTGACTCGGAGTCCAGACTTTGGAATAAACCATTTAAATTCGAATAGGCCCGGTCCAGAAGTAACCTGAGGAACAGATTAAATAGGATTAAGTAAACAGGCAATACGATTCAAGTCGTCAGTCAGAACGAGACCGAATGACATATGGACTTGACTCACCTGCCGCCCCGTCCCACCCGTCGTCGTGCCAACCCGACACAGCGGCGGGGAATGGTGAGAGTGGTGAGGGAGTACCGAAACCGCGGGTCACATGACCCTCCGTCTGTTTCTCCAGACCAGGGCCAGTCGCCGCTGTGATCCAAACGGGGCTGCAGGAACAGAAACCACATGAGAATGTGACCGTAGTAAATGAAGGGAAAAGTTCAGAGGAAAGGGTAAATGAAATGAATTACAGGGAATAAAGGATTGGGACTTGGTGAAAGGATTGTATACTTATTTGTCAATCATACAAATAAATTAAATATTGACATCTTAAAAGTATAGCAACAAAAACAGCTTCTAAGAGTTTTGAAACAGAGCTGTAGAGTCTACGTGGTTGTAATGCACATTGGGATATGCTGTGGTGTAGAACAATAGTGGAGAGGAAAGAGGAACGATGAAAGGATGTGGAACAGAAGAAGCGCAAGGTATGAGATATGTCAGCGCTCGACACCTACAGCATGATAAACACATCCTGCTTTCCGCCTGAAGGCAAACGCTCCATCGGGCTCGTTCTCTTCCTCGGCCTCTGATGACCCAGAATGTATCTGCACAACAGCAACAGGAAGTCTTTTATGCACTGATTGCATGAACAATGAAGTCCACAAATTAACACTATATAGCCAAATTTATTTAAATGTGAAGTGTGCAATTTCTGTGCACTACTTTTTAAAATGTTTGGGGTCAGTAAGGTTTTTTTTTTTTTTTTTGAAAGAAATTCTATTCAGAATAAGTTACATTAAACTGATCAAAAGTGACAGTAAAACATTTATAATGTTAAAATACCTCAATTACAAAGATTTTAAACACTGTTCTTTTTAACTTTATATCCATTTAAAAAATCCTGAAAAACAAAGTATCAAAAAGTATTTTTCTGCAAAAAATATTAAGCAACTCAACTGTTCCAACATTGATGATGATAATAAGCAATGCTTCTTGAGCAGGATCATGTGACATTGAAGACTGGAGTAATGATGTTGAAAATTCAGCTTTACCATCACCGGAATAAATTAGTTTAAAATATCCAAATAGAAAACAGTCATTTTAAAATGTAATAACAATTCACAATATTACTATTTTTACTGTATTTTGATCAAATAAATACAGCCTTGGCAATCATGAGAGACTTTATAAAATAAATAAATATATATATATATATATAATTAAATTAAGCCATTGATTAAACCAGTTTAGGTGCTAAAGTAATTAAACACTTTGCCTTTAAACAGTGATTATATCCAGTCAAGCAAATGCTCTGTGTGTCTACCTGTGAAAAGGGCTCATCATCAGAGCTGGGGAAGTCGTACTGGTTGAGGTCTTTGGGGTTAAACAGGGAGGGGCCAGTATGCAATGGGGCGGAGAGAGGCAGGATTTTGGGCCTTTTCTCGTACTTCCTCTTTGTTCTGACCACCTCTGTCTTTTCAGGCTGAAAGAGAGAGATACATATAATTTATACATACCATATTTTCTGGAATACAAGTCACCTGAAATGTGCTGACTGAAATGTGCTGTGCAAATTTAATGCGTGCATACAAAGTGGACACATTTGGATTCGAACCCTCGGATAGTTTGTCGTTTCACTTTAAATAAATCTGTTTAGGTTTGGCATTTATAATAAATTATGCTTAAAATGAAGGCAGCTATAATTTGTTTGTTTTACACTTATATTCCTGAATTCAAAAATAAACTTGTGAGACTTATACATTGATGAGACATATCTCATTTTTTTTTATTTCAATCAACAATGCAATTTTGACCCAGTGCGATTTATTTTCCAGAAAATATGGTACATTCACAACCCATTTTACCGCCACAGTCTGAGAGATTGATGATGTCAGTGGAAAAAGCAAAGTTATTGTATTTTGGCAAAATAATAATATCATGCACCGATGAATTGTTCCCAATAAGATCAGGAACATACATTAGGGGGGGTAAATTGTGATTTCATGATGATATGATGTACCCACCTTGGTCTTGTAGTCTTTGAAGTCTATGTGGTCCTGGTGGAGGTACTGACTGCTGCTGGAGAAGGGTATTATGGGAATCTTGTAAACAGGTTTTGCCATAGCTAGTGCTTCTGCCATCACCTCTAAACCAAAGTCTGGCATGGCGTTCCTGAAATGAAAGAGTAGAGATTTTTAAGGAGGATGCAACTGGTCTTTACATACGTTTTTTTCTTTTTTTTGGATTTCACTGAGAGGTATCTTTATGTATACACATACAAATTACCCAACATATCTCAGTGATTAAAGATGACGGATGAATAATGGAGTTTGGTCACGTGTCCTTCATGAACAAACAAGGTGAACCATAATTGCTCATTTAGCCATGTAAAACAAGCCCCTTAATTAGGGTATGCAATGATGCCTAAGCCAATTAAAAATACATGACCAGTTCTCATTATACGTATACTATACGCGCACACAGTAAAACGCAATTACGAGAATTCTGGAGTCAAGCAGGTTAGGTATATTAAAATGCAAAGCAAAGTTAAGCAGTATCTTGTGTTTTCATTATAAACACATGCAAATACCCCACTGATAAAAACACTGCTGAGAGTGAGTCTACATACCTCTTCTCCACAATCTCCAGTGTGAGATGAAGCAGTTCTCGTTTGCTCTTTTCTCGTTTCTTGATCATCTCCAGGACGGTGACGGCTCGACTCAGGTCCCTTCTTAGTTTGAGCATCTTCTCATAGGACGCCTCGTCATTCTTACGGTTCTGGGGAAACATGAACAATACCATTAGCATTTGGTCTCATAAAAAAATTGTTTATTTAAACTATGTTTAACAGGTTATTTTTTTAATAATCAAGTTATTGTCACCATTTCTGAACAAGCTAATGATTAGGCATTATACTCAATGTTCTACAACAACGTTATGGTATATCTCAAGGTTTTGTTTTAGTTGAAAACGTGTGTAAAAAAAAAAACAAAAAAAAATAATATATATATTATAGCACCTTCTAATCAATAATCCAAAATTGTTATCAAAAATTAGCCTTCCCATTATGAGGTGATTGATATTTGACTCAAAGTGATTTACAGTGGAATTTTGTTTTTACCTTTTGTAATGGCATTTTTCTAACTTTATTAAAAGCATGTCATCTTTTGTCAAATTCTTAAAATTATATTTTATAAGCTTTTTAAATTTTTTTATTAAAACGACAGAATAAGAACAAGTAGAATAAGAAACATAAGTTACCAATCAAATTAAATCAGTATTAAAGGGGTCATATGATGCAATTTA